GCATTTCTGGTCACCCTTCTTGAACTGCCGCCGTGATGCACACAAGGACATTGCCCCAGACAGAGGTCATGTGATCTATCTACATCCAGCCCCAGTCAGCGCTGACCCAACCAACCCAGAGGTCCATGGCCAAAAACATCCACACAGAAGCCAGTTCCCATCACCAAATGCACATGAAGTGGACAGCTGTAGTTATTGAACAGTGAGCGATGCTGGGCTGTTGATCACATAGGACAGACGCAGCAGTGACCAATATCTAACATCTAACGATGAACATTTTGAGATCAGCTCACGCAACCTGTGCGTCAGCCTCATCCCTCAAAAGAGGTTCTTAAGGCCACACAAGGAGTAAAAATCAAGGCTGGGTGCCAGTGGCTCACGCCTGTCATGCTAACTACTCAGGAAGCTGAGATCTGAGGACCATAGCTAAAAACCAGCTGGAAGAGGAAAGTCCCTGAGACTCTTATCTCCAATGAGCTACCAGAAAACCAGGAAGTGGAGCTGTGGCTCAAAGTGGTAGAATGCTCGCCTTGAGCAAAAGAGCTCAGGGACAGCGCCCAGGTCCTGAGTTCAAGCCCAGGTCCTGAGTTCAAGCCCCATGACTGGAAAGAAGAAAAGAGAGAGAGATAGAGAGGCGAACATGATAAACAACCCGATCCTTCCCAGCCTGACATTTCACACGATCCTCATAATGGCAAATGAGTCCCTCAGTTGCCATGACTTGTGTTAGATCTCACATGGACTACAAAGTAAGGCCAGGGCGCGAATTTGAATCACATCATTAAAGGCAGCACCTCCCACCCATACAGAGGAAGGACGTGGCACACACCACAGAATGAAATTAAACGACAAAGACATTGCCGGCAAGCAGCCCTAAGAGATTTTTGTCAGGGTGGTGAGAAGTTCATTGGATTTCTCATCGCTGACTTTTCCACCATTCCTTGCTACACAGGGAGGAATCTGACTGGTGGATGAGACTTGAAAAAGCAAACTTGGAGCTTCTTAAGCCAATTCTTCCCCTGGCTACATCTCCCCAGTACAGACCTGCGGGCACATATGAGGCGGCAATAAACAACTCAGCTTTCACCGCCTTCCCCAGACCTTGAAATGTCTCACTGAGCTCACTCTCGGGTTTAATGGAGGGCGTGAAATTCATGGTATCGACCTCCTCCGCTTTCAGGGCTGAAGGCATCAAGGTCACACCAAGCTGAGGTAACCAGGACAGCAAAGCAAATCTGAACTTGTTTTGATTGGATTTATCTTTCACATCAGATTAAGGCCCTGGGTGTGTGTGGGGGGGTACAGTAGCTTTGACAGGATTTGACAGGAAGCCACATTACCTATTCTAAAGAAGAAGCCACGTGCGTGTGTGTTTGAACTGTGTCCTCCAGCCACCCCCAAAGAGAGGCCCCTGGAGGTTTCCAGACAAAATGATGAGCTTTGAGATTGCACTCTGGGGCTTTCTGATTTCTTTAAAAGGAAGGGGATTGTGCCATGAGCCTTTGAACCGATAACTGTCCCAAACTTGACCAGCAAAGAAGCTTGGCTTGTAGCCCACAGGTCAACCTGCCTGCTGACTATTTTGGGTGGGATGCAAGTGTCTACATCTGTATTCCCTGAAATAAGCAGATTCAAGGGAGCTCTCAAATAGTGTCATTCCTTAGGAAGGCAAAGTCAAAGTTCAGCAAAAACAAAACACCAGGAAGCAAGTACTCAAACAAGGTGGGGTGGGGTCAAGGGAAAAGGGGGTAGACAAACAAGGAGGAGAAGGAGAGAATGCAATTAAGAATCCAACGTAGCTGTGGCTCATGCCTGTAATCCTAGCTACTCAGAAGGCTGAGATCTGAGGATTGCAGTTCAAAGCCAGCCCAGGTAGAAACGTCCCTGTAAGACTCTTATCTCTAATTAACCATTCAAACTCCAGAAGTGGTGCTATGGCTCAAGTGGTAGAGCACTAGCCTTGAATACAAAGAGGCTCAGAGACAGTATCCAGGCCCTGAGTTCAAGCCCCATGACTGACAAGAAGAAGAAGGAGGAGGAGAAGGAGGAGGAAGAGGAGGAGGAGGAGGAAGGAGGAGGATGAGGAAGAGGAGGAGGTGGAAGTGGAGGAGAAGGAGAAGGAGGAGGAGAAGGAGGAGGAGGAGGAGGAGGAATTATCCAATGTATTCTCCAAAATTAAGAAGAGCAAGGGAAGGGGTTGGTAGGGGAGGGATGGGAGCAAATACTAAAAGAGGTTACATTGATCAAGACTCTGTTCATACACCACTTCATGAAATGTCACATCCTTTGTACAACTGCTTAAAATAATAATGAGAAGAAACTAGGCACCTGTGGCTCATGCCTGTCATCCTAGCTACTCAGGAGGCTGAGGTCTGAGGATCACAGTTCAAAGCCAGTCAGGGCAGGAAAGTCCATGAGACTCTTATCTCCAACAAAACACTCGAAAACCGGAAGTAGCATTGTGCTCAAGCGGTAGAGTGCTCGCCTTGAGCTGAAGAGCACAGGGACAGGGCCCAAGCCCAGAGTTCAAGCCCCGGACCCCCCAAAAAAATTATAAGAAGAAAGAAAGAGAGAATATGCTAAGAAATCAAAGGCACCCAAATGCACAGGAGAGAGCATCTGTCTCTGAAGAGCTCACAGGAAGGGTGACGTGGAATACAATCCCTCAGAATATACAGAAATGGCCCAACACACTGAGTGCAAGAATTCAGTGATTCAAGGAGTCAAACACATCAATAGAGAAAGACATAGACAAATGCAGAGGCAGAGAGAGAGGGGGGTAGGGACAAGGGGAGAGAAGGAGAGAGTGAAAGGAAGAGCCCAAGGACAATAATCCAGAATCACTGACGACAAAGATTATTCAGAACTCTGGATTCCAGGTTCAAGTCCTACCACCTCCACCTCTATGCCCAAATAGGTGACATATCTAATGCTTGTCTGTCTTAGTTTTGCCTATGAGATGACCATCAGCTTTTAGGAAGCCTTGGATTTGTTAGGACAGAGAGACGAGCTCAGAGCTGAGTAGAAGTTACAAAGAACAAAGGAGGACTGGCCTCTCAGAGGGCAGAACACTGGCAGGGGCCTGCGGAGAGCTGAAAACCAACCCCAGTTCACACCCAGCGGCCAGTTTGCTACCCTGAAGGCTGGTCTCTGGCCACTGCCTAAGATACCGACGTTGCCAGAATTTTCTAAAACATCTCCAAACAGAAAACACTGCATTGCTCCAAAAACTAGATACAGTATATGTCCTTTGCAAAGAATTTACTAGCCAGGCACTGGTGGCTCACGCCTGTAATCCTAGCTACTCAGGAGGCTTCAGATCTGAGGGTCAAGGTTCGAAGCCAGCCCAGACAGGAAAGTCCGTGAGACTCTTATCTTCAATAAACCACTCAGAAAAAAAAAGCCAGAAGTAGAACTGTAGCTCAAGTGGTAGCGTGCTAGCCTTGAGCACAAAGAGGCTCAGGGATAATACCCAGACCCTAAGTTCAAGGCCCAGGACCAGCAAAAAGATAAATGAATGGATCAAGGAATCAAGGAATCAATGAATGAATGAATTTACTGCCAGCCCAACCCCTTAGCAAGAGTGAGCACCCTTACAGATAACCCAGTTTCCCTTTCTTGGGGATGTCGCCCACCCAGTATCATGTTAGGGGGTGACTGGACAGTCCAGAGATTTTTACAATGACCCAGCTTGGATCCAGTGACCCAACCTCCCCTTTGCCAGTGGGGCTGGCAGGGTCTCTGATGAGCCATGGCCAGGACATACGACTGACCTACCCCACGGAGAGCAGTCACTCAGAGTCACAACAAAGCCACATCATCTAGTCGGAAAAGCAAGAGGGTGTCCCAAGTTCAAATCGCCATGTCCTTGCCCAAAGAAGTTATCCTGGGATAACAGAATACAGATGTTCACTGCACACAAGGTTTCTGAAGCTTTCTTAGCAGCTCAAACCCTTATAAGTCTGTCTCTGTCTCTGTCTGTCTCTGTCTGTATCTCTGTCTCTGTCTCTGTCTCTCTCTCTCTCTCTCTCTCTCTCACACACACACACACACACTTAGGAAGAAGCCTGAATGGAAGAACTGGGTTTGTTGAAAGTAAACACCAGGGCGTGATCTCCAGAGCCAGGTGAGCATGTTTCCAGAAAGAAAAGCGAACGGAGTCATTTCCCATATGTCTAAGGGGGGGTGGCGGGGGAGGAGAGATCATGGCCACAGTAGGAACTTGACAGATGTTTGTTGGAAATTCCAGAAATCCAAGAGAGCGTGGGGGTGGGGATGGCCAGCTGAGGGAGGCAGAGGACAAGATTCTTCTAGATTCTTTAAAAAAGAGTTTTAAGAATACCTGTATACGGATGTGCGCATGCTCTCTTTGCTCTTGGGTAAATAACTAGAAATGGGGTGGCGGGGTCTAGACACGGGAAGACATATTAGTGGCTGTCACAAATCACCATGAGCTCCGTGGCTTCTAACAAGGTCATCTTACCTCAGAGTTGGGAGATGGGAAGTTGAAGGTGTCTTCCCACCACATACTGTGTGGGGACCAGCTGTCCCTCAGCCTGGAGGCAGGAGGTTAAAGGCAGAGCTTCTGATTTTACTATTCTAATAGGTGCACCCTGGTGTCTGCTTTCTGGGTTCTTTTATTTCTTTGTGTTAGGTTTTTAAAAAGAGGTAACCAAGTAAGAAGTACACCATGCATGTGGTATTCAGGTGAGGGGTAGGTTTATTCAGTAGACCTGCTGGGACCAGGCCAGGTTGGCACTCCATGCAGCTGGCAAAGAGGGCATCTGGCCCTAGGCTAGGCCTTATCTAGGGTAGGGGCAGGGAAAGGTGTGGCCAGGAAAGGGAGGTGGGACCAGGTAAGAGGAGGTGGGACCAGGTGGGAGAAAGGTGTGGCCACATCAGATCCAGATGTGACCTCAGCGGATGCGGATGTGACCTCTTCCAGGTGTGCCCATTGCCTAGGTAACATAAGTACTGAGTGGAGTCTGCTCGCCATCATGAAATGGGGCGCAGATTCTCTCTGGCTACTTCCTGCTGGCCAAGGGGCCGTCGACATTAGGGGTAAAAGGGCAGAATGTGGTTTCCTTCCAGAGAAGGCATTGAGCAGCAGTTGTCCCTTGGTAGGCGTGAATCCTTAGATGATGTCTGCAGGAAGCGAGTCTCTTGGATGAAGCCTGGAGGAAGTCTTCTCAGGCAGCGGGCTGGACAAAGACAAAAAGGAAAAATATTACTGAAAAGAAAAGATTGGATGTCTGTGGCTTGGAGGTGACTTAAGGGATGAGGTAGTGAGGTATGTGGAGAGGAGAGAAGCTGGCTCAGTGTTACTCACCCCGATCTTCAGGGATGTGAGACAGCCTTACCTTGGTAAGTCCAAGGGAGGAACAGGTGTACCTGGAAGTCAGCGTTGGTATAGAAGCAAGAGCAGGAGCCCTTTTTATTTTTTTTTTTTTTGTCGGTCGTGGGGCTTGAACTCTGGGCCTGGGCGCTGTCCCTCAGCTCTTCAGCTCAAGGCGAGCGCACTACCACTTGAGCTACAGCACCACTTCCGGTTTTCTGGTGGTTTATTGGAGATAGGAGTCTCACGGTCTCTCCCGCCCGGGCTGGCTTTGAACCGAGATCCTCAGATCTCAGCCTCCTGAGTAGCTAGGATTACAGGCGTGAGCCACCAGCACCCAGCTGCCCTTTTTATTCTTGACAGGTGAATCCACTGTGGCTGTCCCTTGAGCTTGACTACGGTGGGCGTAGTCAGCAGAACCTGGCGAGGGCCTGTCCACATAGGGTGTAAACCAGATAGATTAAGGGTCTTGAGAAACACTTGATCTCCAGGCAAAATTGGGGGAGTGGGAAAGGGGCCTTGATGAGGCTGAGGGAGATACTGATCAGCATGTTGGCGCAGCATGTGCCTAAGAAAGGTTAGGACGGGAAGGTAGTCTCTTAGTGGAGTCTTGGTATTGTCAGTAGGGAAATTACCTAGGAGAAAAGGCCTTCCATACATTAACTCAAAGGAGCTGAGGAAAGTAGGGCTGCGGGTGAGCGCCAGGGGTAACAGTTCTGGCCAGGATTGCTGGAGCTCTAGAGAAAGTTTCGTAAGCTGTGTTTTGAACACAACTTATCAACTCATCAGCTTATCAATGCATCAGCTCTTTCAACCTTTCCAGAAGGTGAAGATTCCACTGGATGTTTAGAGAGGATGCCACCTGTTGGGTCACTTTGGAGATGAAAGCAGGTCCGTTGTCAGATTGAAGTGACCTGGGTAAGCCAAACCTAGGAATAATTTCTTTAATAAGGACAGAGGCAACAGCGTCAGCCGTCTCTGACGTTGTGGGATAGGCTTCCATCCAGCCTGAAACGGTGTCCACCATGGTTAGAAGGTATTTCAGCCGCTTACATCTGGGCATGTGAGTGAAGTCTATCTGCCAGTCTTCCCTGTGCTTGGTGCGTGGGGAATGCAGCTGGTCAGAGGCCACCCTGTGAGGAGGTCAGGGAACAATTGGGGCAGGCTTGGGTCGGGTAGTTAGGCTAGGGCAATGGATTACAGGTTTCAGAAGGTGGGAGAGAGGCTTGTATCCAATATGCAGCGCCTGGTGAACCTGGGAAAGAAAGCTGTCTGCTTGTGTCTCAGGAAGAACAACTCGTCCTTCCAGGGACCACCATCCCTGTGCTTCCTGGGAGGCTCCCTGCTGGGTAAGTTTCTCGAGCTCCTGTGGGGTATAAGAGGATTGTATACCAGAAGCAGGGGAGCTGGAAGTTGTCCCTGGAGTTGTCTCTGGGCTGCTAGCTTTGTCCTGGCCTGCTTTTGAATTGCCAACTGTAATGGCATCCAGTCCCATCTGGTGTCCCCAGCAGTGAATGATGGCTACCTGTTGGGGAAGGGAAGCAGCTTCTAAAAGCTTAAGAATAAGTGAGGCATTAGTAATGAAGTCCCTTTGGTGGTCAGGAAGCCACGCTCCTTCCAGATTGCTGCATGCGAATGGAGAATGTGATAGGCATATTTTGAATCTGTATAAATATTAATCTTCCAACCCTTGGCTGAAATTCAGGCCCTAGTTAAAGCTATAAGTTCTGCCTTTGGTGAGGCAGGGCTAGGGGGCAGAAGGCTGCTTTCAAGAATGGTAGAGTTACTAACGATGGCATAGCCCGCAACTCGGCTTCCTGAAGAGGTAGATGTGGAACTGCTATGGATGTACCAGGTGTCTTCTGGGTCAGGAAGAGGAGTTTCCGAGATACCTGTAAAATGGGGTGTGAATTCCTCCAAGGTCTCTGCACAGGAATGGGAAAGAGGGTTAGAAGTGGATGGAAGCAAGGTGGCTGGATTGAGCGGGGAGCAGCTTTCCAGTGAGAAGTCAGGGTTTTGAATAAAAGTAACATGAAACAGCTGTAGGCGGGAAGGGGAAAGGGAAGATAGAAAAAAAGGTCCTTTAGTCTGTGGGGAGAGCGAATGGTAGTGGGTTGGCCCAAAGTGAGTTTTGTGCTCTCCTGTGCCAACGTGGCTGCTGCTGCCAAAGCTCGAAGCCAGGCTGGCCAGCCTTTTACCGTTGGGTCTAGCTGCTTTGAGAGGGAGGCCACAGGTCTAAAGGAGGGGCCTGACATTTGTCCAAGAACCCCAAGGCCAATTCTCCACTTCTCAGTGACATAGAGTATAAAGGGTTCCTTAAGGTTGGGTAAAGCCAGTGCTGGAGCCCGAAGAAGTGCTTGCTTCAGAACTTTAAATGGGGTGTCAATGGGCTTTGTGAGGGCTGGCGGCTCTCATAGGGAACCCTTGGTTGCTTCATAAAGAGATTTGACCAAGATAGCAAAACCGGGGATCCAAATACAAAGGAAGCCTGCAAGTCCCAGGAAAGACAGAACGTCCTCCTTGGTCTGTGGGACAGAGAGAGAGTCAATGTAGGCTTTCCTATCAAGATTAATTCTTCTCTCTGTAGGAGTTATGGACAAACCCAAGTATGTTACCTCTGGCTTTGTTATCTGGGGAAGGGGAGACTCTATATCCTTTTGTCAACAGGAAGTTGAGGAGGTCAGCTGTATGTTGGGGAGCCAACTCAAAGGAAGGGCTGCAAAGCAAAAGCTCATCCACATACTGGAGAACGATGCTAGGAGACACCTGAAGAGAGAGGCGATCCTTGGCTGAAGCCTGTCCAGGAACCCTTGAGGGAGCACTGTCCCGGTCAGCTGTTGTGCCCTTGAAGTGTCTGGGTCCACCCAAGAAGTCTTGGCAGTCAGGATGCAGGAGGATTGTGAAGACTGCATCCTTGAGGTCCAGCACTGAGAAGTGGGTGGGACCAGGAGGTATCTGTGAAAGGAGGGTATATGGGTTAGGCACAACAGGATGAATGGGAAGGACTGCAGCATTAATAATGTGCAGGTCCTGGACTAGGCGATAGGTCCCAACAGGTTTAACTACTGGCAAGATAGGGGTGTTAAAGGGGGAGTTAGTAGGTCTGAGAAGTCCTTGTTTAAGAAGGCGAAGGATGATGGGTTTTAAACCTTGCCTGTGCCTAAGGGAAATGGGGTATTGGAAAGTACTAGGGAAATGGGTAGGGTCTTTAAGTTTAATGAGGACAGGAGTATGGTGTCTAGCCATAGTAGGAGTGGAAGTATCCCAGATAAGAGGGTTGACAAGATCTGGAGAGACAGGGAAAGGATCTAGTTGGGAGATTACAGGTGGAGGTTCATCTAAGGATAAAAGTAGAACAGGTGTAGGCTGTTTGGGGATATGGAATGAGAGGGAGACTTGAAATTTAGAGAGCAAGTCTCTCCCTAGGAGTGGGGTAGGACAGTGAGGTAGGATTAGGAAGGAGTGTGAAAATGGTAAGTCTTCTATTTTACATGATACTGGTCCCGTAGCTGGGGGACAGGTAGGTAGGCCATCCACACCCACCACCGAGATCTGGGAGGGAAAGTCTTGCCTGTATATTGAGATAGCACCAAATAAGTCACTCCTGTATCCAAGAGAAAAGATATTAACTTACCGGCTACATAGAAACACACCTTGAGCTCCGCCATGAGCTGGTTGTTGGAAGCCAGCGGCCCTGGGCACCCTCATTTCTGTAACCAAGCAGAAAATCTCCGACGTATCTGTCTCCACCTGCCTGGGATGGGTGGGGTGGGGGAAGGGCTGGCCTACCTTGTAGAGGTGAGGAGGGGCATTCAACTCCCCAGGGTCCATGCTGCCCACACATTGGGCACGGTCCAGGTGGAGGTCGTGGTGAAGGACAGAATTTTGCCCCGTGGCCCTCTTGCCCACACTTGAAGCATGCTCCAGGTGGTGTGTGTTGGGTGCCTCTTCTCGGAGGAGAAGTGTTACAGGTACGTAAGCCAGGTAAAGACCACATTTCCTTTTGGACAATGTCATCCCCTTCCCTCTCTCCCTCTCCCAGTTTTCCCCTCCCATCCCCCACCCACAAGTTGTGGAGTTTTTCCCCCATGGTGTCCAGTGAGGACCCTTGCAGGTTCTCTTCTTTCTAAATAGAGATGTCCACTGTCTTTTCATGTGCTTATTTCCCAGCTGCCTATCTCCTTTGGCGAAGTAGGAATTTAGAGCTTTGGCCCATTTTTAATCGGGTTGTTTGTTTCCTTATCATTGGATTTTGAAGGATATAAATGTGTGTGTATATATGTGTATGTGTGTATATATATGCATATATATATATCCTCTAGATTTATCTCTTGTTGGATCTATGCTTCACAAATATTTTCTCCTAAGCTTAGAGCTTATCCTTTTATGGTTTTAACAGATCTCCTTATAATAGCCCCAAATTGGGATGAGTCCAAATGTTCACCAATAAGTGGCTAGACACGCTGTGGTACACCTTTCTAATCAAGTGCTGCTCGCCTGTGAGAAGAATAAGCTATTTATATATCCAACAACATGGATTAATCTTAGCCTAATTATGAAGATGAAGGGAATCCAGACCAACAATCAGTACAGCTGTATGCTCACATTTATGTCAAACTCAAGCAAAGACAAAGTGATCTGGGCTGTCAGAAAGCAATTAGTGATTGCACAGGAGGTCGAGGAGGTGGGCGAGGCAGGGGTGGTGCGGGGTGAGTGGGAGGGACAAAGGGCTACGGAGGGACTCTCAGGGTAATGAACACGTTCATGTTGATTGTGGTGATGTTTCCAAGGTTGTATGCTTACATCAGAGCTTGTAAAATTGCGCGGTTTCCACGCACACAGTTTAGCATGTGCTAATTATACTTTGACAAACCTGTGATTTTAAACGAAGGTTTAAGAGCTTTACTGACTAAATGCAATGCGGGGAATCACATTTGATCTAGACTTATGGAAATTGATTGCAGAAAAAAAATAAGTCTGGGGAAATTGGGCACTGGCTAAGAAAGAGAATTGCTGGTAATTGTTTGATCGTGGGCACGCGTGGAATTTTTCGAGACTTTTCTCTGAGGTGCACACTAGAGGGTGAGCAGATGGAGGGTTAGGGTGCTGGAGTTCTGCTGCAGGAAAGCGTCCTTGCTGGGTAGAAGGTGGAGAGCTAGGCAGGCCATGTGGAACCCCCCTGTCAGCCCCCTCCCTTTCAGATGCATTCCAAAACTTCCGTGGCAGAAAGTTCCACTGTTTACATCTCTAAAGATGTCTCACTTGCTCTTTACGCCTCCACTTTCCCATCTCCATGGAGAAGATGAAAACGCACCTGTGTCTCAGGCTCAAGGCCCAATCCGTGGGAGATGTGCAAAGGTGACTGGGCACATAGCAGACGGTCATAGTAGATGCTCAATAAAGGACAGCAGGGGTCAGTGGTGGCTGACACTCTCACCAAAGGCAAGAGATGACCTTAGAGCATTACCCGAGGTGCAGGAAGTGCTCCACACGTCTGCATTCAATAAGCACAGTGCCTGATGCTTTCAGTCTCTCCACAATGACTCTGTGCCCACCCTTCTCCACCCCCCCCAGTTCTAAGATCTTCACCCCGCTTTGCATGAGCAGTAAAAGAGAGGTCGAGAGAAACGGAGACTTGTCCGAGTCCCGTTGATTCAGCCAAGTGGCAGGTGCAGACCTTGGAATCTATTTTTCTTAAGCAGGAAGTACTGGATCCTCACCACCGCCTTCCACACACACACACTCCCACCCCCAAATTCTTTATCCACTCAGAACCTCAGTACGCTTGTCTGAAAAATAAATAACAACAAAGCCATCTGAAGGAGAACTCCGGGTTCGGCTCATTGGTCTCAGAAATAGCCCCCAAAGGGCTGCCATTCTGTGAGAACATTGGGTGAAAGGCTCCCGAATCCATTTGCCACGAGCGCACGCAGTCAGGAGGAAGTGTTTGCATTTTAAGAGCTCATTTTCCCGGCGTGACAACGTAGCTCAGCTCTGCTGGGGCCTCCTCCCAGACTTCAAGACCCAATCGGTGCCAATGGGCTGGAAGAAGAGGAAGAAAAGGAAGTCTGATGAACTCCCTCTTCATGCTCAGAGACAGCCAGCTAGCTCTTGATTTGAGACAAAATACAATCGCGCTCTCAGCCGATTTTCTTGAGGAGCCTAACAGTTTTAATTCCCACCTACCCACCTCATCTTCTTCTTAAGGACAAGGCTTTCTCCAACCACATGATAGAGCTGTGCTTTGCCTCTGTCTGGAGATCAGGATTCTCCCATGATCCCCTAGGGTCTCTGGGTCTCATTGATGCATCTATAGTACATCTTTCTTAGCCTATATAGTGAGTCAATGCACATTCAAAAATGGGATCAAGGCCACCAGCTTTGTGAGCTCCCCCGGAGTCTGTGAGTCTGTTTCTAGTTGTGATTGACACTCACGTGCTGTCAGTTAAAATCAGTGACCACCAGGCAAGCAGAAAGTGCTTGTCGAAGGGCACTAAACAAACCCCAAGACCACATGGAATGGAGGTTGGTTTTGTTTGTTTGTTTTTCCACGAGGGATGTCTGAGTCATTTAACTAATCACCAGCTTCATTCAGCCTAGCCAAGCCTTGTGCTAGAATTTCATTCTTCCTTTTGATTTCTCAGATGTAAGCAAACAGAAATCTGCAATGTTGTAAGCGTGCTGCAAGTCCACTTCATCCTTGGGATTGGAACTTGACCTGTGGAAGTCAACTAAGTCCTCCAAATTTGTTCTCGACGGCATGTCTGTGTTTTTGCCCTCGAATTGTGTGGTGCGGGCCGTGTTGAAGGGGAGTCTGAGGGGTGAACAGTAGTGGTTGAGAAGGAGGAAGCCACCGTGTATTCTAAAAAATAACCGTCCTCGGGAATCCCATCCTAGCCAGGCCTTGTGCACAGCCCAAGAGGCCTCTTGGCCTCTGTCCATTTTTATAACATGGATTTGCCGCAGACAGAGAGAGAGCAGGTTTCTTCATAGATGGGAAGAGGCTCTCTATCCTTTGGAGAAGGAAGTGAGTAGAGTTTGAATGATGTCATATCCCCCACCCAGCATGCACTGGGGCAGGGATTCTCCGGGCACAACCATATTTTCAAATGTTATCATTTTTAAAAATAATGTGTTTTTGATATCAAGAAAAAAAATCAAGGGATGCTAAATGGGATACTCCACCCAGATACCTTGGGGTGCCTTTTACTATCTGGGTGCCTCTTGCGGTTCTCAAGGCACTGGGGTTGCTTTCTCCTAGGGCCTGAGGGTTAATCACCCTGCAGAGCGGCCTTGTGAGAACAAACCTGAGGTACAATTTGGGCCCCCGAACTCTTTTCTGTGCGACCAGGCTGGAGCCATCCTCTGTGGGCCACAAGCTGAAGGTCCAGCCTGGCTTCCCTCCCTCTCTTGCCTCCCGAATTTCCTGGCATTTCTTCTAGAAGCATCTTTTTTTAAAATCAATGTGTTGCATGTCTGATCGGGTCTCAAGTTCTACTGGAAATCCAATCTGGTATAAATGATTACAAATAAGTGTCTATACTTTTCTCTCTCTCTCTCTCTCTCTCTCTCTCTCTCTCTGTGTGTGTGTGTGTGTGTGTGTATGTGATTTAGATATTTTGTGATGTCCAAATCTGACAATTATGAAATTGCATGTTACATATCAAAGGGTTTTTTTAAATTTAAATACTTATCATTATCATCTTTTCATGTCCACAAATACCCTCCAATAGCACACTGCAAACAGCCACCTGCATTCCCATTGTGCGGTAGCAATCTGATGGCATCCAAACGCTTGTGTTGTTTATTGCTATGGTAACAATGTTGGGTTGAACATCTTTGACGGAAAACTTCTATGAGTCCGTTTGTTCCTGTTCTGCTGAAAAATCCTGGTCCTGGTTTGAATTTTGCAGTTATGGCTCTCTCTGTGTATGTGTGTGTGTGTGTGTGTGTGTGTGTGCGCGTGCGCGCGTGCGTGTGCACGTGCATGTTAGTCCTGGCACTTGAACTCAGGGCCTGAGCATTCTTCCAGAGGTTTGGTTTGTTTTGTTTGCTTAAGACTAGTGCTCTGCCACTAACACCACAGCTCCATTTCTGGCTTTTTGATGGTTAATTAGAGTCTCATGGACTTTCCTACCCAGGCTGGCTTTGAACTGCAATCCTCAGATCACTGCCTCCTAAGTAGTTTGGATTACAGGCATGAGCCACCTGGCTCGTTGTTATTCCCAAATGCCTTCCAATAAGATCAGGACAGTTCACAGCCCTGTGAGTACCATCCTTGCTCCCCATCTCCACCTGTCCATCTTCTAGGACTAAGAAGGGAGGACAAACCCCCAAGAAGCCTGTAGCCTGCACAATTCTAACCCAAACTATAGCCTCTCAGAATGACTTATTGCTCCCCCTTTGAACTCACTCGTCTGAGTCTAACCTATACTTTATCATTTGTCATGTGAGTTAAAATTACTTCTGGCTGGGCGCTGATAGCTCATGCCTGTAATCCTAGTTACTCAGGAAGTTGAGATCTGAAGATCACAGTTTGAAGCCAGCCTGGGCAGAAAAGTCCCCATGAGACTCTTATCTCCAAGTAACCACTCAAAAGCCAAAAGTGGTGCTGTGACTCAAGCGGTAGAGCACCAGCCTTAAGCACAAAGAGGCTCAGAGGAGGGTGCCCAGGCCCTGACTTCAAGCTCCACAACCGCCAACAAGAACAACAAATTACTTTTCTGAAAGAATTGTATTTCAACAAAGTTGAAGGCAGAGGCTGGAGCTGATGCTTATACACTAGGCATTCACAGCCCCATTATTTGCAGTAGCCAAAAGGTAGAGGGAGGGGGAATCCAAGTATTTGTCCACAGGTAAATGGATAAAGAGATGGTGGTGTATACAGAA